GAGAGGGGGAAAGTAATATGAAATAATGTTTGCGGCAAACCAAAAACCCTGGACCATAAGCCTATCAATCGCGGGCAGGACCACCAGAGAGCCTTTTTTCATCATGAAAAATGCATGCAAAGGACCCGGTACACCATACTTTGAGGTTTCGCATGAAAGAAAATTATGTTGGACACGGCTGCAATAATTTCTGCACAGAAGTGAGCCGGAACATCCAAACACCACAAAAAAAACAAAGACAACTAATCTCAACTAATACTGCTCTCTCTGCTTCTGCTCTCTCTATTTCTCTCAAAATGTCTGAAATAGTTCATGTTTTACTGTTTTTCAGTGCATTCTGGGCATTTTGGAAGGTCTCCTGAGGTTATCTTTAAAAAACCGCTTCTAAACGCAAATGCGCATAAACGCGGTATGCAAACGCAGCTAAACAGACGTTTTCCAGCAGTCGGTTTCCATCATTCAAAAGTGTCCAGTGTACATGGAGGTTTAATATTGACAGTTGGAAAGTTCTGCTCTTGGGGGCTAGAATGGATGATGCATACAAAAACCATGATTGGCCCATGCATTCTAGGGGGGAGTACAACTGGGGGAGCAGGGTCAGACTGATCATTCCAGCACTCGGGCACTGCCCGAGGTCCCAGGGTCAGTAGGGGGCCCCATAAGATGCCCCTGGTACCTTTCATAGGCTGATTTGGGTGTAGTTTGAGTGTGGGTGAGGACACAGGGACCCCATGATCCCCTATTGCCCGGGGGCCCCATGAGTTGTCAGTCCGCCCCTGTGGGGGAGTCAATGTCTGAGGAGGATGTGGGTGTTCTAGTCAATTACGTGTTCTAAGGGCTGGTTGTGATTGCTTTCCCCCTTTACCCGCACCTCTGACGCGGGCAGACTGAAGCATCCGCCTCCCACCACTTCCAACAGAAGCTTTCAGGGAGAGACGGAGCCCACATGGAATAAAAATAGATTTGAAATATATTTTAAAAACATTCTTCCCAAATATGTTGACATATATCTGAAATGCTACAAGTTTGGCCGTATTCAATAAATTTGAAAATATATTTCAGTAAATATATATATATGGAAAGGATGGAGGCAAAGAAGGGAAGGCCCATCCTGACCAGCGGCTCCTACGGGAGTAGCGCTACATTACAGGTACAAACTGACAGCTGGAAGAAGATAGAAGAAGATCAGGAAGGAATGTTTCCCCTGCAGGAGGAGATTGGATCGTGCTTTGCTGAGTTTTTTTGCCTTCCTCTGGATCAACTGTGGGTGTAGGATTATAACTTTTTTTTTTCTTTTAATGGTTGAACTGGATGGACTTTTGTCTGTACGGGGCCCAGGCCAGCAGGGGGGCCCAGGAAGCTGGGTAAATCATATTTGGACAGGGAGGGTGATCGGCAGATGGAAGTTGGCTTCTTCTCCTCTCCATCTGGCTGGCTTTCAGTTGCTGCAGAGAGAGCCAGCCATACAGAGGATCGGTCCCAGTAATTGCCCCCCTGGTGCACCTATTACCCTCCCTGTCCACCATACACTTCCCCTGCTGCCAAGGCCCCTCTGTGCCCCCCCCCCCCACAGTACTGCCGGATTCCCTCCTCTCCTTCCCACCACCATCTGCAAGCACACATACTTGCCGTACAGGGGATCAGTTCCAGTACTTGCCACCCCCACCCCACCCATCACTCTCACTCTGCACCATATGTTTCCCCCTACTGTCCAGGTCCTCCTGTGTGCCCCCACCCCCGCAGTGCTGTTGGCTTCCTTCCTCTTCTTCATGCTGGCAGTGGCAAGCACACATTAGGATCCTTCAGGATGGACAGTGGGGGAAAAGTCAAGTAAACAGGTCACATCTACTAGCCCTTCCTTCCCTGAATGAACACAATGAGTGATCAGTGCCAATCATTCACTGTGTTCATTCATAACTGAAGCTTGGTAAACTGTGTTTATTTGGGGGGGGGCTGTCAGGTTTTCTGTATAGGGTCCTGTGGTTTCTAACAGCAGCCCTGGTTGCCCAGGCCCCCATGTGTGCCCCCACCCCCACAGTGCTACCTTTCTCTCCTTCCCACCGGCAGCTGCAAGCACACAATGGGATGGATCCTATGCCTCACAACCAGACTATGATGACTATGATGTGGAACTGGGCCTGAGCAGTCCTGCTGAGATCCCCAATATCAAGACTGTTGCCCACCACCTGGACTGATTTTGGATTGAGAGCGAGACAACTGATGCTCCACCATCAGACATCAATAATCCAGACGTAGACACCCATGAGCATAATCCAGACGTAGACACCCATGAGCATGATCCAGACGTAGACACCCATGAGCATGATCCAGACGTAGACACCCATGAGCATGATCCAGAAGTAGACACCCATGGGCATGATCCAGAAGTAGACACCCATGTGCATGATCCAGAAGTAGACACCCATGGGCATGATCCAGAAGTAGACACCCATGTGCATGATCCAGAAGTAGACACCCATGAGCATGATCCAGAAGTAGACACCCATGGGCATGATCCAGAAGTAGACACCCATGAGCATGATCCAGAAGTAGACACCCATGTGCATGATCCAGAAGTAGACACCCATGGGCATGATCCAGACGTAGACACCCATGAGCATGATCCAGAAGTAGACACCCATGTGCATGATCCAGAAGTAGACACCCATGGGCATGATCCAGAAGTAGACACCCATGTGCATGATCCAGAAGTAGACACCCATGGGCATGATCCAGAAGTAGACACCCATGTGCATGATCCAGAAGTAGACACCCATGGGCATGATCCAGAAGTAGACACCCATGGGCATGATCCAGAAGTAGACACCCATGGGCATGATCCAGAATTCGGACTGAAATGTCTCACCATGACCTACGATGATGAGAATCAACCATGCCTTGACAGATTTTGGATTGAGAGTCAGAAAAACCGATGCTCCACCATCAGACAATGGCAATGGAGAGTTGGGAAGGGTCCGGTTAATTTCTCAGCCTCTTCCTTTCCTGAATGAACACAATGAGTGATTGGTAAAAATCAATCACTGTGCTATATTTATAACGGAAGCATAGTAAACTGCTTTTTTTTTTGGGGGGGGGGCGCATCAGGTTGGCTGTATGGGGCCTCGTGGTTTCTAACAGCAGCCCTGTGCTGGTGAATCTGGTCTTTCTACCCTTTCATGTTGAAAAACTTCTACATAAAGTTTAAAAAAAAAAAAAAGAACAATCTGCAGTTATTTGGACTTCGTAGTCGCCAGAATCTTTGGATTATTTTTGCTCTCTTCTGTCTTCATATTTCACATGGATTGCATTTTTACAATGTGTGTCTTTGCCAGCGGCAGACGTTTAATTCTGTCACTGATCTAGTTGGCCTAATTAGAACCATAATGCGACTCTATAATTCACGATATTTAACAAGACGACATCTGCCGCCATCCAGGTATCTCCACTGTCATCCGTTCAATATCACCTTCACCGGGGACAGCGATGGCGTCAGGCTGTGACCGCGTTTTTATCATTTGTCTGCATGCGACAACTCCTATGTGATCGCACTCTCGGGGCAGGATTTCTGCATTCACAAATGCGTGGGCAGTGTTCAACCGCTTGAGCTCTGGAATATTTTACCCCCTTCATAACCAGGGCATATTTTTTGCTATTCGACACTGCGCTACTTTAACTGGCCATGGCGCGGTCATGCAACGCCATACACAAATGTCATTTATATCATTTTTATCACACAAAATAGAACATTTGATCACCTCTGTTTGTTTTCTTTTTTTAATATTTTCTATTATATAAACGAGAAATCATAGAAGATTTTTGAAAAAAATATGTTTTCAAAATATATTTTAATACAATATATATATATATATATATATATATTGAAATATATTGAATACGGCCAAAATTGTAGTGTTTCAAATATATGTCAATATATTTGGGAAGAATATTTTAAATATATATTTCAAATACAATACAATACAATTTTGGCCATATTCAATATATTTCAAAATATATTTTCAATAAATAATAATTAAAATAAATAAATATATATATATATATACACACACACACTGCATGTTGAAATGCGTTTTTTATATATAACAAAATATATGAAAATAATTTAAAAATATATTTATATTTTTTTAAATATATTCTTTTTTTTAACATAAAAGAGTCATTATTACATATATTTGTAAATGCTTTCCAAAAATGTAGATTTCTATTTTTAGAGACGTACAATATATTTGAAATGTTTAATTTTTTTAAAATATATTTTTCATATATTTTGTATATTTTGTACTATAAATGCATTTCAACATGCAATGTGTGTATATATATATATATATATATATATATATATATATATATACTGTATATATTTATTGAAATATATTGAATACGGCCAAAGTTGTAGCATTTCAAATATATGTCAATATATTTGGGAAGAATATTTTTAAAATATATTTCAAATATATTTTTCTTCCATTTGGGTGGCTAAGACAATCAGCAGGTCCCGGCCGTAAATCATTGGGTGAGACCTGCTGATCAGCTTCTGCTGTGCTGAATGTGAGCACAGAAGCGGTGGCCCTCTACCCGGAAAAGCCAGCGGGGCCGCTCTGCTGCAGTAAAACTGTGGTAGGGAAATGGTTAAAATGGACTCCAATGGCCCTAGTTCACACCAGTGCCGTCAACAAAAGTAGAACGTTTTTTTATTTTTCTGTATGGAACGCAGCGAAATGCACCAAAAACGCACAAGAATGTACGTCCTCAATTGAGATGAAGAAACAAAAAGAGGTGAAAAAAAAGGCATTGGAATGCAGTTGCTTCCACTTTGTTATAATCCCACTAACAGTTGAGCGTGGAATATTTAGTAGCCAGGAAATGTCACGGATGGACTTATTGCCCAGGTGGCCACCTATCACGGGACCACGCTTGGAGTCACTGAGCTCCTGAGAGCGACCCATTCTTTCACCAATGTTTGTAGAAGCAGTCTGCATGCCTAGGGGCTTGATTGTATACACCTGTGTCCATGGAGGGGATTGGAGCACCTGAACCACATGATATGGAGGGGATTGGAACTGAATCACATGATTGGAGGGGATTTGAACACCTGAATCACATGATATGGAGTATTTGAATACATGATAGGGAGAGTCTGCAATCACATGATATAGGGGATTGGAACACCTGAATCACATGATTGGGAGGGGATTGGAACACCTGAATCCACATGATATGGAGGGGATTGGAACACCTGAATCACATGATATGGAGGGGATTGGAACACCTGAATCACATGATATGGAGAGGATTGGAACACCTGAATCACATGATAGGGAGAGGATTGGAACACCTGAATCACATGATATAGAGGGGATTGGAACACCTGAATCACATGATTGGGAGGGGATTGGAACACCTGAATCACATGATTGGGAGGGGATTGGAACACCTGAATCACATGATATGGAGGGGATTGGAACACCTGAATCACATGATATGGAGGGTGGGGACAATACACTTGACAATATAGTGTAGGTGTAGTAGGGGTTAAATGACAGCAATGTATCAATTGTATATGCTATTATTTTTTGCAATTGTTTTTCTATGAAAGTGGAGCTACCCTTTAAATAAATGTAAAACAATATATCTCTAATGTAATTAGTTATTATTGCTTGGCTTTTACTCATTCACAAAAAATAATCAGTACCCGTCCATGCTCTATATGAACAGTTGGAAATACAGTGAAGGAAATGTGTATTTGCCCCCCTCTGATGCTGAATGTTCGCCCCTCACACAGAAATGATCGGTCTAACAATGATGTTCGCCCCTCACACAGAAATGATCGAACAATGGAATGTTCGCCCCTCACACAGAAATGATCGGTCTAACAATGGAATGTTCGCCCCTCACACAGAAATGATCGGTCTAACAATGGAATGTTCGCCCCTCACACAGAAATGATTGGTCTAACAATGGAATGTTCGGTGTAACACTGAGAGACAGAATACAACAACAAATTCAGCAGAAATGCGTCTAACAAATGATGACGGATCTGCATGTTCATGAGGGAAAGAAGGATTTGATCCCCTATCATTCAGCAGGATTTCTGGCTCCCAGGTGTCTCTCATACAGGTAACAAGCTGAGATTAGAAGCAGTCTCTTAAAGGGAGTGCTGCTAATCTCATTGTGTTACCTGTATAAAAGACACCTGTCCACAGGAGCCATCAAACCATCAGATTCCAAACTCTCCACCATGGCAAAGACCAAAGAGCTGTCCAAGGATGTCAGGGACAAGATTGTAGACCTACACAAGGCTGGACTGGGCTACCAAACTATGGCCAAGCAGCTTGGTGAGAAGGTGACAACAGTTGGTGCAATCATTCACAAATGGAAGAAACACAAAACAAGTGTCAGTCTCCCTAGGTCTGGTGCACCATGCAAGATCTCCCCTCGTGGAGTGTCAATGATCATGAGAACAGTGAGGAATCATCCCAGAACTACACGTGAGGATCTTGTCAATGATCTCCAGGCAGCTGGGACCACAGTCACCAAGAAAACAATTGGTAACACACTACGTCGACAAGGACTGAAATCCTGCAGTGCCCGCAAGGTCCCTCTGCTCAAGAAAGCCCATGTCCAGGCCCGGCTGAAGTCTGCCACTGAACGTCTGAATGATGCCGAGGAGGACTGGTGGGAAGTGTTGTGGTCAGAGGAGACCAAAATCCAGCTCTTTGGCATCAACTCAACTGGCCGTGTTTGGAGGAGGAGGAATGCTGCCTATGACCCCAAGAACACCATCCCAACTGTCAAACATGGTGGTGGAAACATTCTGCTTTGGGGGGGTTTTTCTGCTAAGGGGACAGGACAACTGCACCGCATCAAAGGGACGATGGACGGGGCAATGTACCCTCAAATCTTGGGTGAGAACCTTCTTCCCTCGGCCAGGGCATTGAAAATGGGTGGTGGATGGGTGTTCCAGCATGACAATGACCCAAAACACACACGGCCAAGGCAACAAAGGAGCGGCTCAAGAAGAAGCACTTTAAGGTCCTGGAGTGGCCTAGCCAGTCTCCACATCTTCATCCGATTGAAAATTTGTGGAGGGAGCTGAAAGTTCGAGTTGCCAAACGTCAGCCACCAAACCTTAATGACTTGGAGAGGATCTGCCAAGAGGAGTGGGCCAAAATCCCTCCTGAGGTGTGTGCGAACCTGGGGGCCAACTCCAGGAAACATCTGACCTCTGCGATTGCCAACAAGGGATTGGCCACCAAGTACTAAGTCATGTTTTGTGAAGGGGATCAAATCCTTCTTTCCCTCATGAACATGCAGATCAGTCATCATTTGTTAGACGCATTTCTGCTGAATTTGTTGTTGTATTCTGTCTCTCAGTGTTAAACCGAACATTCCATTGTTAGACCGATCATTTCTGTGTGAGGGGCGAACATTCCATTGTTAGACCGATCATTTCTGTGTGAGGGGGAACATTCCATTGTTAGACCGATCATTTCTGTGTGAGGGGGAACATTCCATTGTTAGACCGATCATTTCTGTGTGAGGGGCGAACATTCAGCATCAGCCGGGGAGCAAATACACATTTCCTTCACTGTATGCCCAATAAACCCGAATATTCCAGCTGCACACTGAGTCCCCCTGTACGGATCTCTCCGGTGTACGCGGTGTATTCTCCCTCGCATTCCGAACTCTCTTCTCACCTATCAGCGTCTTGGCGGGTGAATTTCCTCCTGGAAGACGTATCCCGCCATCTCGCCGGCAGCAGATTTCTCAGGTTTATCTCTCAATAAACATTAGAGTGCGTGGAAAGGTTTCAGTCTAGGAGTCTAATGTTCCCCGGGCTGAATGAGGGAAGAGCTGAGAGGTGATTATGACTCCACCCCCAATAGAGAGATATCCTCATGATGTTACCGCTCCTTCCATCGCCGCGCCGCAAGAAAATAAAACCGACTCAGCAAGCCAGGACTGCGGTGCCTATGGAAGGTTCCAACATTTAAAGTGTACGTGAAGGCAAAAAAAATGAGGTCAATTTTATAGCTTTAGAGTAGAGCTCCACCCAAAAGGGGAAGTTCCTCTTTAAGGACTGGTCCACCTCTCCCCTTGAGGAATTGGCACCTTTGGGGGGCGTACCCTCCCCAGGTACCCCAGGTACCCACTTCCGCTAGTGAAATTAAATAAAAATGTAAAAAAAAATGTTTTTTTAAATTATAATTTTTGGTTATAAACTAATTTGGGTTATTTTCTTTTACTAAAAAGATAACGGAATACATTTTTCCAAGATTTATGATGAAAGATTATTTATTTGCAAAAATTTTTTTCATAATTTTTGGACTTTTTTGTTTATATAGCAAAAAAAATAAAAATCCCAGTGGGGAATAAATACCACCAAAATAAAGTTTTATCTGTCTCAAAAAAATGCTAAAAAATTCATATGGGTACAGTGTTGCATGACCGCCCAATTGTCTTTCAGAGTGTGATAGCGCTGAAAGCTGAAAATTGGCCTGAACTGGAAGGGGGGGGGGGGGGGGGGAAGTGTCCGGACTGAAGGGGGGGAAAAGGGGGGAAGGGGGGAAAGTGTCCGGACTGGAAGGGGGGAAAGTGTCCGGACTGGAAGGGGGGGAAAGTGTCCAGACTGGAAGGGGGGGAAAGTGTCCGGACTGGAAGGGGGGGAAAGTGTCCGGACTGGAAGGGGGGGAAAGTGTCCGGACTGGAAGGGGGTGAAAGTGTCCGGACAGGAAGGGGGGAAGTGTCCGGACTGGAAGGGGGTGAAAGTGTCCGGACTGGGAGGAGGGAAAGTGTCCGGACTGGAAGGGGGGAAAAGCGTCCGGACTGGAAGGGGGTGAAAGTGTCCGGACTGGAAGGGGGGAAAGTGTCCGGACTGGAAGGGGGGGAAAGTGTCAGGACTGGAAGGGGGGAAAGTGTCCGGACTGGAAGGGGGTGAAAGTGTCCGGACTGGAAGGGGGGGAAAGTGTCCGGACTGGAAGGGGGGAAAGTGTCCGGACTGGAAGGGGGTGAAAGTGTCCGGACTGGAAGGGGGGAAAGCGTCCGGACTGGAAGGGGGTGAAAGTGTCCGGACTGGAAGGGGGTGAAAGCATCTGGACTGGAAGGGGGTGAAAGCGTCCGGACTGGAAGGGGGTTGAAAGTGTCCGGACTGGAAGGGGGTGAAAGCGTCCGGACTGGAAGAGGGTGAAAATGTCCGGACTGGAAGGCGGTGAAAGCGTCCGGACTGGAAGGGGGGGAAAGTGTCCAGATTGGAAGGGGGGGAAAGTGTCCGGACTGGAAGGGGGATGAAAGTGTCCAGACTGGAAGGGGGATGAAAGTGTCCAGACTGGAAGGGGGTGAAAGTGTCCGGACTGGAAGGGGGTGAAAGTGTCTGGACTGGAAGGGGGGGAAGTGTCTGGACTGGAAGGTGGGGAAAGTGTCCGGACTGGAAGGAGGAGGAGAAAGTGTCCGGACTGGAAGGGGGGGAAAGTGTCCGGACTGGAAGGGGGGGAAAGTGTCCGGACTGGAAGGAGGAGAAAGTGTCCGGACTGGAAGGGGGGGAAAGTGTCCGGACTGGAAGGGGGTGAAAGTGTCCGGAGTGGAAGGGGGGGAAAGTGTCCGGACTGGAAGGGGGGAAAGTGTCCGGACTGGAAGGGGGGGAAAGTGTCCGGACTGGAAGGGGGGGAAAGTGTCCGGACTGGAAGGAGGAGAAAGTGTCCGGACTGGAAGGGGGGGAAAGTGTCCGGACTGGAAGGGGGGAAAGTGTTCGGAGTGGAAGGGGGGGAAAGTGTCCGGACTGGAAGTGGTTATAGAGTTGATATTGTAGTATCATTAACTAGGAATGCCATCTTCTAGTGATGCAAAGATAATTTATCGACTTCTGCTTTTCTCACTAACGCTGAAGAAGTGGATCTGTTCTGTAACACTTTTTTCTTTATTACACTTCAGTTGATCATGGCGCGATGTTCTGCGCTGTCAAGGAGTGCAGTACGCACCCACTAATTAGAATAACTGTGTATCAGCTTCTGACAAAAGAAAGAGGAAAAAAACCCGTAAAAGGCCCATCTGTTTTCATCTTCGGCTCCTTTCTTTCCTCTGTGACTTTCAAAGAAAGACTCAACGGTAATGGTGAGAATCAGCTCATCATAGAGGAAGGAGAGATTCGTTGTGGAGGATGAAGCAGAATTACAGACTGTATATAAAACTTGGGGAGAATCAAAGTCCTTCAACACACTTAAAAGTTTAAAGGGGTTTTCTGCTGCTAACAGTTGGTGCTTGAAGGTGCTTGATCTTGGCTGGAAGGAACATTAGCCCATATCTGGGACTGCTTTCATTTAAAGGGGCAGCTTCTGGGACCTCTTGGCCAGGGGTTCCCTCAGGCAGCTGGGAGAAGAGGACATTTCATTTGGGGTCTGCGGTGGTACACCAAGCAAATCCCAAGAGTTGCTGCAGCACTGGAGCCGCATCTATACCATCCCTCATAAATGGACATAGACTTCCAGGTAGTGGCATAGTGT